TTTTCAGTTGCTTTCCTGTCTGCAAAGTAACTAGCCTCAAATAATCATCATGCCAAAGAGACATATCTTGGGGTGGCCAAATCCAGGTCCCCACAGTGGATTCAAACATTTGTCCTCAGCAGTAATTTATACTTAAAATATCCACTGATTAGTTAGCTTCTTGACAATAGATTTAAATGAGTAGCAGGGTTGGGGCAAAATAGGACCGTTACTCCATTTCCCATACTAGCTCCTCCAATGAATTCTTGGCTAAACCTAAGGTCACCTGTTCTGTCCCCAGAAACTGTCATGGCAGAGCTGTTCCTCTTCATTGACCCTGTGGTCCAAAAGCAGAAGGTTCGTGTGGATATAATACCATTGGGCTGGAAATGAGCGTGTCATGGAAGCTGCTGAGTGCCATGGATTCTCCCTTGAGTTTTGGTCTGTTGCTATCCCACCTTGTAACTGGACAGACCTTCAAAAGAGGTGAGGCTGTGGGAGAGGAAGGGGACGGGTCGGCGGAGCCCCAAAAGGTGCTCTCCTCATGGGCAAAGAGGTATCCAGTAGGTTTTGTTGCCGAGGCTTAGAATGAAGAAAACATCCCAGATTATGCTGCTTTTCTTGAGTACACATTCAGACATTCATTCATTCAACTAATAGTTATTACTTATCTAATATATATTTATTAACACAGTAATTATCTATTACTGTGCTATTATGTGCTGGGGATGGAACAAAGACAAAACAGATAAAAATCTTTGACCTAAAACCACTTATCTTTGGTGTGGACAGGCAAAGGGCAGGAACTGAGGAAATAAGCAATAAAAAATAAATAACAAATAATTTAAATTGAATGAGACAACAACTCTGAAACTCTGTGTAATATAGTACACAACAGTGCCCTGGGATTCATTTTCCTCCATGGACACAGGCAAAGATGAATATCTAATGGTCCTCTAAGAGCTTAACAAAGACCTCCTTACGTCTTCATGCCTTTTAAAAGCAGAGATGTCAATTTAAATATTATTTTTACAAAGGCAACAAATTAAATAAGCAACTAGTTAAAATCACAGACTGTTTAGAGAGACTAAAAGTTACTTTGACGGGGCCCTGAATCGATATCTTCAAGTCAGCCCTTCCAACCACCTACCAAAGACAGTGACTCCATAAACATCCACCTGTGCTAATCAAGAAAAATCACCCAGAATCCTCCCTGCTTTGTCTGCTCCACATCCCACCCTGACTGTGCCTCTGGACAGTGATGGGTGTGGTTTCCCTGCTTCAACAGTAGGGTCTCCTGAGGACTGTTCACAACATGTGGGCTTGTCTACTTCTAGCCTCTTCTGGTGAGAGGCCCTAGTGCTGGAACCCTATAAGCCAGCCCCTACCACAGGAGATAGAATTTTGGAAAATGCAGAATCGTTTCACAATATGGCATGCACACTCATACCTGTACCCCCATCAGAGAATGGCGGCCCCTCCAACATGCGTTTCAGAGATGTTCTTTTGCTCTAGGAAACTTAACCTATCAGCCAGTAACGTTCTTCCCGTTGGGGGAATCACCTGTCAAAGTCTACAGGCTCTGCACTCCTTCCAGGTCCTGAGGAGAAAGGTAACCTAGAGTAACCCAGGAGGGCATCTCTTCCCACTCTGACCCTGCTCCTCCCTTTGATACCCAGGAAAGTGTTGGATCCAGAGCCATCATTTCTGAAGCAGTGCCGGAAAACATCTGTGAACCCACATGTGGTGACAGAGGCTGTGGAAATGCTCAACAGTCCTGTGCTGCATGAAACCAGCAGTGTGAACATGTTGTGGAAATGCTGTACCTTGGAATACTGGTGTCAAGGTACAGAGTTGTCCTGAAGGGGGATGGGGACACCAAGAGCACAGCCAGCCCAGCCTCACTTCCCAGGGCCTCTGGATCCTATTAGGACCTGTCTTCAGGGCTGAATGGATGGGATTATTATTTCCCACATCTCATGTGCCAAAGAATCCTGACTCCTGACCCAAGAGTATGTTCTAATATCCTCATTTTAGTATTTCAATATATGGGACTCTTTGATATTGATGAAATGGGAAATCGATTTAATTATTTGAGATTATATCCTGCTTTGGGTAAGTGATGGATTCTGGAAACTCCAGAAGAGTGGCTGCTGTACTATGTACATGTGCAGTTTTATGGCTGGAGGAAACAAGGGATCACTAACACAGAAACATGGCGGTTAAAGTCCCCAAATACTGCGAGACCCTGAGCAGAAAGTTTTATGGATTCAGATCTAAATATGCTCAAGCACATATGATGTACATCACTCACTCACAAGAGCCAACTATTTTTTAATTAAATTAATTTATCAAATATTTATTCAGCATGAACTGTGATTCAGGGACATAAAATTTCATGTGTGTTATATTGGGCTTTCGCACACAGTGTATTCTGTGTGTAATGTGTCCTCACTTAAGAGATTTAGGAACTAAAAAGAAAACAAGTGGAGATGTGAACTAACTTTCCCAAGATCCATGCATTAGTCCTCGAGGAGACTGAGGCTTCGCCCAGGTCCTGAGTCCAAGTCCAGCGGACAAAGAAGCTTGAAACAAGTGAACGGTACTCCAGTTTGGAGAATATTTTGATGTTCAGCTTTGGGTTTCCATCTGCTTAGGTCGGTGGACTGGGTTGTGTGAGAACAGGAGGAGAAAACCCTGTCATTTCACGGAGGGCAACTGCTCAGCTGTGTGGCCAGTACTGCTATCCCAGCTGTCTACACATGTCCCAGAAATGAGCACCAGGTCATTCTCTTCCACTTCCCAGGACCACTTTCCAGAATCTCCTTCTCTCCTCCTTGCATTCAGCCCCCTCATTTCAGAGCACTGGGATTGCCCATCTTTCTAGCCTGTTATGACAGCTCCATCCCCAGAACTCAAACGTGCCATCCACAGAGATGCTTTCGGTTTGGTAGATAAAGGGATAGAGATGCTGGCTCATGTTGATGGGGAAGGGCTTATCATCTCAGGAATGTTCTAATCTAAGAATTGTCCCCATTCTCTGGTTGATGTTGATGGCTGAGGGCAGAGTTCAAGCACCTACAAGAGGAGGTTTCCCAGGAATCGGAGGCACTGGCCCAGCTCCCAAAGGATGTTCAGGATGCTATATTCCATAATATCCTGGCCATGCTAAGGGACTGAGGGGCCCTGAAGGACCTCAGGGACATGGTGAGAGGGTCCCACAGCTGCCCAAGGCTGATTAAAGATGTAAAAGGGGAATGTATAGGAAACATGGCTACCAAGATACATTGGGGAGGAGGAAAGGGGCAATGCCAGGGGAATGAGAAGCATGTCTGAGATCCAGGACACTGGACCTGTGACTGCAGCCACACATACTGAGGATGCTCAGAATCCCCTGGAAGAGGTAAAAGAGCCCTCACTCCCCACCTTGATTAGTCATTTATAGAATCAAAAGACACAGGCAAAGTTATATAACAATATTATTATTGTTGTTGTTGTATTTCCAATAATAACAGTCTCCTATAGCTAGATCGGAACCTCTTGGGTCATTTGGATGGCTTTGGTGCTTCCATCCACAATGAGATGTACGAGGACTCAAGAGATCTATGGCTCATGTCAAGGCTCCACATCATTACCGCCTTGAAGCCATAAAGGGTAAGAGCGATTTGGGGAGAATGTGGGAGAGTCACAGGTTTGGCTCCGGACCTCGTGAAAGTGATGGGTTAGATGCAACTTTCCAAAACCCTTCAAATATCATGACCTTCATCCTCACATCTCACCTCTCTCCAAGGTCAGGAGGGCTTAGTGAGATCAATTCACCATGTGACGCAACCAGCCTGAGGTCTAGAAAGTGACCAGCCCAAGTTATCCAACATATCATTGTGGGTGGATCATTCCAGGCTCCAGCCTCAGAATCCCATCCTCTGGACTATGTTATGTAGCATCCTGGAGACCATCCCAAGAGCAGAAGGAGGACTTCCCAGGGCGGGGAACTTGACCTTCAAGTCTAATGGGTTATTCCTCTGCGTCAGATTTTTGTGAGCTAGGGTATCAAACCGAAAACCAAAGGAATTAGTGACCATCTACATACGAAGGCCACGTCCATCCTCTTCCCGCACTGGGCTCCCAAAAGGCAGGCAGCCAGGATTTTACCTTCAAGGCAGGAAACTAGAAGATTCTTCCCTGGAGACCCAGCGTAAGAGAAAGACCTACTGATAAGGACATCTGGTTTCCCCAAGGAAACAGCACAGCAGAGGTTCTCAGCCTTAGGTGCACCAGGAATCAACTGGGGGACTGTACAAAATACTGATGCCTGGGTCCCACCCCCACAACTCTGATGTAATTGTTCTGTGGTGAGGGCAGGCTTAGAGAGGTTCAAAGTCTCCCGGATGATTCCAACATACAACCAAGTTAAGCACTACTGCCCTCTAGTGAAGCTCACAGTTAATAAGCTCCACCCCCCCACACACCTCCCCCCACCCCCCGCCCCACCTGCTCAAGCTTTCTGGCTGATTTTTGACTCCTCTCTCCAAAACGAGAGCAGACAAGCATCACCAGACACCTGAGAAACAGTCCAAGACCAAAACAAACGAAAAATCAGCTCAGAGGAATCAGACCATGTAGAAAGAAGAAAGTAATATACTTTATGTTTAAACACCATTAACATCCTCAGACAAAAATATTACCATAATGGGTTGCTGTTTTAAAGGAAACACTGAGAGAACAAAAAAGAGCTCTTAGAAATTAAAACTATTGGGGCCACCCTGTGGCCAAGTGGTTAAGTTTGCACACTCTGCTTCAGCAGGCCAGGGTCTCTCCGGTTTGGATCCTGGGCGCAGACGTGGCACCACTCCTCGGGCCATGCTGAGGCAGCGTCCCACACAGCACAACCAGAGGCGCTCACAACCAGAATATACAACTATGTGCTGGGGTGTTTGGGGAGGAGAAGAAGAAGGAAAAAAATTTAAAAGATTGGCAAAAGATGTAAGCTGAGGTGCCAATCTTTAAAAAAAAAAAAAATTAAAACTATTAGAAATAAAAACTCAATAGAAGGATTAGAAGATAAAGTTGACAGAATTTCTCAAAAAGTACAGCAAAAACTCAAGAGATGAAAAATAAGACAGAAAAAATGAGAAATTGGAAAGAGAAGTTTAGGAAGACTAACATCTGAATGAAACAAGTTTCAAAGAAAGAGCACAAACATACCAAAAGAAAAAAATGGAGATGAAATAATCAATTAAATAATTCAAGAAAACATCCCATAACTAGGATATGAGTTTACAGAATTAAAAAGCCCATCAAATGTGACACAAATGGATGAAAATGGACCCATACCAAAACACATTTATGTGACATTTCAGAACGTGTGGGACAAAGCGAAAATCCAGAGAGAAAAACAAAGGTTATTTACATGATCGGATATAAGAGTGGCTTTAAACTACAACCACACAGCAAACTCGAGGCAGGGGAGCAATGCCTTCCCTAATTTTGATGGAAAATTATTTCCAACGTAGAAGTCTATATCAAATTTGCAGGGAGAATAAGATCATTTTCAGACAAAGTTTTTAAAACATTACTGCCCATGTTCCCTTTTCCAGAAAGCTATGAGGACGTGATACACTAAAATGGAAGAGAGATTCAAGAGGAAGACGCTGGCTACTGGGAAACATGTCGTGTGGATGAGAGACAGGGGGATTCCCAGGATGACACTCAGCACCAGGGCCAGAGGACAACCAGGCCCCATCTGGGCAGATCGGAAGGCTCCTCCAGGAAGATGAAACTGACAGAAGACCTTGAAGCTGAGCATACTAAGAAGAGATTTAAGCCATCGGCAAAGTTTGGATTTAATTAGATATAAATGCACAGAAAACAGAAGAAAAAACGAAAAAGGACGATGAGAAACAAAACAAAAATCCTACAGGAAAGGAAAAATATTTAGGGTTTATTAGTAGCTGAGTAGAGCTTATGTAGTCATAATAATATTAATGAACAAAGAGAATTGTAACATACTTTGGGGAAAATAGGGGGTGGGACTTGGGTGTGGTGCAGAGGGAGGGGGGCCCTATAACGCCTACAAGAGCAAGCTTATCGTTTGAGAGACCACAGACACAGGGCCACATATTGTGTTTCCCCATTTATATGAAATATCCAGAAGAGACAAATCCAGAGACGGAAAATACATCAGTGTTTGCCCAGGGCTAGGAGGAATGGGGGGAGGAGGAGGGTTTGAGGGGCTCTTTGGGGGGTAGTGAAAATGTGTAATAATTTCCAAATCACAATAATTATAATAATAATGTCCATATTATTACTGGGTAGTAATATCACCCAGTAATACTGGGTGAATTGTGTGGTATGTGAATTACACCTCAATTGAGCCCTTTATAAAAGAGCGCTAACAGAGGTAATTACAAAAACAAGCAACCAAAAAGAGTTCGGTGATCGCCCCTGGGGGGGTTTCCATGGAGGGGAGCGGGGTTTGGGGGCGGTCTCTGAGGTTTAAAAGAAATCTTGTAGAACAATTTGATTCTTTAAACTACATGAATTATAACCGCTTAAAGAAAGAAAAACAAAGCGTAAATGTTACCATTGACAACTGAAAGCTGGAGAATCATCCCCGGATGTGTCAGCGTCAGGGTTGGAGAGACAGATGGGAGACCCCCGCCTCCCCCCGCCACCGCCTCCCGGGGCCACGACCCCTGGGCAGGGGCAGGGCTGGAAACCCTGTGGCCCTGGGCAGGGGTCCTAGAGAGTTCCTGCGTGGGCCATAGCCTGGAGTCTGGGACAGTCACCCCGCCACGGCCCTGGGGCAGCCGGCGAGGCGTCCGGTAGGCCGGGGACCCCGGGTCCTGGCGGGATGGCGGGATAGTGGGTTTGAGGGATGGCGGGTTGGAGGAATGGCGGGATGGAGGCGGGATGGCGGGATGGAGGCGGGATGGCGAGTTGGCGGGATGGAGGCGGGATGGCAGGATGGCCAGTTGGCGGGATGGAGGCGGGATGGAGGTGGGATGGCTGGATGGCGAGTTGGCGGGATGGAGGCGGGATGGAGGCGGGGTGGAGGCGGGGTGGCGGCGGGATGGAGGTGGGATGGAGGCGGGGTGGCGGTGCAGAGCGCGACGGCGCCCCCCCGCGGTTCCTCGGAGCAGGGCAGCCCCGCAGCTCCTCCCAGCCATCTCCCCGCCCTTCCGTCTCAGGCCCCTTCCTTTGAAGAGCCTCTGTCTCCATCTCCCTGAGTCTGAATTGTCAATTGGGCCGGCCCCTTTGCCGGTTGCCCCCTACACATCAGCGGCTCCTCCTGGGCTCGTGCGGTCGCTCCTCTGGCGCCCCCTGCGGGCCTGGACGCAGGACTGTCTGGGGCCCCTCTGCCTCCCCTCCCGAGGCCGCGCGGTCACCTTCTGGGCCCCTTCCTCCATAAAGATATCAAACCCACTCCCGACCATGTGTAAGTTTCCCTTTGGCTCTAAATGTTGGACAGAAAAGAAAAAAAAGACTGTATGGTGTAAAGACGAATATATTATGTATTAAGTCGTTCTCTTAGACCTAAAAGTTTCTTTTTTTCTCCTGATTTTAAAATAAAACATTTTCATGACCCTTAAAAGTATTGTGGGCCCTGGGCACAGGACAGTGGGCCAGTCTCTCCCCTCCCGTCACGTTGGAGCCCTCGGTGCACTCCCCTGGACTGTGGTGATAAGCAACTCAAATCTCTTTCACTGGGCTGTGAGCGCTCTTCCTAAAATACAGCCTGGCTTGCAGTGTCACTGTCCTTCTCACAAGCCTGCTGTGGCTCCCCAGTGCCCACCCACTGAAATGGCAAGTGCTATCAAAGACGTCTGAACAAAATGGTACTGGGGCCCAGAGGAGGGGAGGTTAGAGGCTCGTCTAGTTGCTTCTACTCAGAAAACTCAGTTGTGTATGCTGGGAGGAGGGAGCGGAGAGAGGAATCCCTTTCCTTTCACCCCATCCAAGCATGGGGACATGCTTTAGACCTGCCGGGGTCCCCGCGAGCTCAGGAAGGGAAGTGGGGCCAGCCGGCAAAGGGTGACAGCTTATCAACACATGCCACACTGTTCTAAGTACTTTACCATCACCTCGTTAGGCCTGTAACAATCCGATGGAGGAGGCATTATTCTAAATAATAATAAATGTCTGTAAATGTTTTATGTAAAGATGAATAAACTTCCAATTTCTGGATGGGTAAACTAGGGTGCAGAGGGATGTAGGAATGTTCCCGGGGAACACCTGTTCTCAAATGAGGGGAAGGAAGTCCTTGGCCCTGGAGCTTCTCAGTCCCATGCCTCCACGTGGGGAGTGAGTGTAGGAATATTCCCAGGGGGTTTGAGCACCTGTGATTTCCACCTGTGTGCCTATGTAAGGAGCCACCCTGAGTCAGATGCAGCTGGGAGCAGTCTGCTTAGGGCTCCCCACTCCTCACCTTCTGTTAGAAGTTCAGCCCACAGGCAGCCATCACCGAGGCCCCTGCATCTGCTGCCCGGGGTTGACACATGCCCTTTGTGCCCCCCCCCCCCCCAAGGAACATGTCGTCCCTCTTTGCGAGGGACACCAAGAGCTTGGTCAGAGAGCTGGGCAGGAGAGGCGAACTGGTGCCCGTTGACAGCCTGACCAGCGCCCTGCACCTGCGTCCCTTCTGCCTGGTGAGGAAGAAGCTCAGACGCCACCCTTGGCCTTGGGACACGCCCCTCATCCCCACGGTCTTCTCCCTCATGGATGTGCTGGAGCCCGACTCCCCCGTCCCAGGTACCTTCAGGTGGGGCCCGTGGGCAGCAGAGTGGAAGGGACTGCAGGGCAGCTCGAAAAAACGTTCCTATGGATGAACAGGCTGACATCCTCCACCCAGGCACCCAGAGCCCCCAGGGCTGCTGGCCTGCAGCGTTCCCTGGGCACCCCGTGCAGCGGGTGCCTCCCATGTGGGAGAAGGATGAACTAATTTCTTCCTTCTGTCCCTGGCTGTGTGATAAGTAATTATGATAATTATTTTAAACACAATAATAGTTAACATGAATTAAGGGCTTGCTGTGTGGCCAATTTCTCAGTTATTCCTGACAACCACCTGTAGAGGAAGGCCCTGTCATTCTTCCATCCCCTTTTCTAGATGGAGAAACTGAGTCTCCAAGAGTTAAGGGGCTTGCCCAAGGTCATACCCCAACCAGTAAGAGGAAGGGGCCAATTGGAATCCAGGGCTGAGACGGTAGCCGCACTCAACTCTGCCTCCCTTGCTACCTGGCTCCAGCCTCGACCTCTCTCCCCACAGAGGTGAGCCGGAGCGAACCCATCCACGTCCAGGAGGTGGTGTCAGGAGCCGTGACAGGGGCCATGAGCGTGAGCGCCGGGCTGCAGGGGAAGGTGATGGGGAGCAGCGGGGTGACCCGCACAACTACCCTGGTGGTGCAGACCCTCTGGGTTTCCCCTCACACCTGGGAGACGCTGGTGGAGAAGAGGTGAGAGTCAGGGCGGGTCAACCAAGCAGGTGGGGCTCTCCTGGCTGAGGTCTGTCTGTGGTCACAGGTGCCCCCCCAGGCTGGAGTGGGGTGTGGGGGGCAAGAGAGAAAAGCCCAAGACTCCTGCCAGCTTGAGAAATCGAGTAAAGCCACTCTGAAGAGTAGGTTGGGATGGGGAGTCCACTGTTAGCTGTGAACTCAGGGGGCAAAGGGAAGAGAGAGTGGCTATGAGAGGGACTAATATTAGGTCAGAGATTTCAACCCAGATGATTTCAGGGCCAGGAAACAAAACAGAAATATGGGAGCTGCTGGATGTGAGGCGACAGGGAGTGGTGTGACCTGTGGCAAACTGGGAGACACATGCCTGGCTGAAGCTGGCAGCTGCTTTAGAGCTGCTGCTGGTTGTTGCCAGGCAGGAATCTGAACTTAGTGGCACTATTTTTCAAGAGAAGCCAGAAATCAGGGGTTTGATGTGAAACTTACCGATTTTAATATTATCTCAAAATTTTTAAACACCATGTAGGCCAAATAACTTTTGCCTTTTGCCCATTTGGCTTGAGGAAAGCCAGATTGTGGCCTCTGGTCTGGACATTTTGAACCTTGTAGAAACAGACATCTCAGACTTTCCTCAGTTTCTCCCATTTTCCAACCATGCCTCCTGGTTCTAGATCAGTAGCCTCTAAGTACAGGCCAGCCACACCAGGGGATCCTGGGCCCCGGGAGCTCTGGCAGAGGCCCCTCTCTAGCTCTGCCTCTTCTCCTGCCCCCTCCTACACCCTTGCAGGAAACTGAGGACTCCAAGGCCCTCATTCTTCAGGGAGCTGCAGAACCGGAAGGAGAGGGAGAGCCTGTATGTGGTGACAGAGGCCGTGGAGACCATGCAGGACACCACGCTTCAGAGCAGCATCAACGCTGCGGGAGCAGGGCAGCTCTCCCTCCTCGGGCTGAGCCATTTACAGGTGCAGGGTGTGCCCTGGGCGTGCAAACGTGGGTGTGCTGGGGGTCATGAAAGCCACCAAGGGGCCCTGCCCACCACCCTAAATCCTGCCAAAGAGCTGCCCCACTAAGAATCGCCCTATATAGGACTTAATAGATATATAGAGAAGATTCCATCCAAAACAGCAGAATACACATTCTTCTCAAGTGCACATGGAACGTTCTCAAGGATAGACCATATGTTGGGAAATAAGGCAAGCTGCAATAAATTTAAGAAGATTAAAATCATATCAAGCATCTTTTCTGACCACAATGCTATGAAACTAGAAATCAACTATAAGAAAAAAGCTAGGAAAGTCACCAATATGTGGAAATTAAATAACAAGCTGCTGAACAACTGCTGGATCAATGAAGAAATCAAAGGAGAAATCAAAAAATACCTAGAGACAAATGAAAATGAAAACACAACATACTAACTCTTATGGGATGCAGCAAAAGCAGTAGTAAGAGGGAAATTTATAGCATTACAGGCCTACCTCAACAAATAAGAAAAATCTCAAATAAAAAAGTTTACCATATGCCTAAAAGAACTAGAAAAAGAGGAACAAACAAATCCAAGCGTCAGTAGAAGGAAGGAAATAGTAAAAAGCAGAGAAGAAATAAACAGAATAGAATAAAATAAACAATAGAAATGATCAATGAAACTAAGAGCTAGTTCTTTGAGAACATAGACAAAACTGAGAAACCCTGAGCCAGAATCACTAAGAAAAAAAAGAAGGAGGGTTCAAACAAATAGAATCAGAAATGAGAGAGGAGAAATTACAATGGCATCGCAGAAATAAAAAGGATTATAAGAGAATACTATGAGAGGCTATATGCCAACAAACTGGATAACTTAGAAAATGGATAAATTCTTAGAGTCATACAACCTTCCAAAACTGAATCAAGAAGAAATAGAGACTCTGAATAGACCAATCGCTAGCAAAGAGATTGAAACTGTAATCAAAAACCTCCCAAAAAACAAACGTCAAGACCAGATGGCTTCCCCAGTGAATTCTACCAAACATTCAAAGAAGACTTAAAACTTATCCTTCTAAAACTCTTCCAAAAAATTGAAGAGGAGGAGAAGCTTCATATTCTATCAGGCCAACATTACTGATACCAAAACCAGATAAGGCCAACACAAAAAAAGAAAATTACAGGCCAATATCACTGATGAACATAGATGCAAAAATCCTCAACAAAATATTAGCAAATCAAGGGGCTGGCCCCATGGCCTAGTGATTAAGTTCAGCATGCTCTGCTTCTGTGGCCCAGGTTTGCAGGTTCAGATCCTGGGTGTGGACCCACACCACTTGTCAGCCATGTTGTGGCAGCTACCCACATATAAAATAGAGGAAGATTGGCACAGATGTTAGCTGAGGGCTGATCTTCCCCAGCAAAAAATTTTAAAATGAAAATAAAAAATATATTAGGAAATCTAATACAACAATACACTAAAAGGATCAAACACCACAATCAAACTAAATTTATTCTAGGAATGCAAGAATGGTTCAAAACTGCAAATCAATCAATGTGATACCACATATTAACAAAATAAGGAATAAAAATCACACAATCATCTCAACAGATGCAGAGAAAGCATTTGACAAGACCCAACATCCATTTATATAAAAACTCTGAATAAAATGGGTACAGAAGGAAAGTACCTCAACATAATAAAGGCCATATATGGCAAACCCAAAGCCAACATCATACTCAACGGAGAAAAACTGAAAGCTATCCCTCTGAGAATTGAAACAAGAAAAGGATGCCCACTCTAGCCACTCTTATTCAACATAGTACTGGAAGTTTTAACCAGAGCAATTAGGCAAGAAAAAGAAACAAAAGGCATGCAAATTGAAAAGAAAGAAGTGAATTCTCACCATTCCTAGATGACATGATTCTATGTGTAGAAAACTCTAAAGAATCCAAGAAAAAACTGCTAGGAATAGTCAACAAATACCGTAAAGTTTCAGGGTAAAAAATATACAAAAATCAGTTGCATTTGTATACACTAATAATGAACTAGCAAAAAGTGAAGTTAAGAATACAACCCATTTACAATCACAACAAAAAGAATAAAATATAAATAAATTTAACCAAAGAAGTGTGAAAGACCTATACACTGAAAACTATAAGACATTATTGAAAGAAATCGAAGAAGACATAAAGAAATGGAAAGATATTCTGTGCTCATGGATTAGAAGAATAAACATAGTTAAAATGTCCATATTACCTAAAGCAATCTGTGGATTCAATGCAATACCAATCAGAATCCCAATGATATTCTTCATGGAAATAGAACAAAGAATCCTAAATTTATATGGAAGAACAAAAAACCCCGAATAGCCAAAACAATCCTGAGAAAAAAGTACTAAGTTGGAGGTATCACACTCCCTGAATTCAAATTATACTTCATAGCTATGATAATCAAAACAGCATGGTACTGGCACAAAAACAGACACATAGACCAACGGAACAGAATTGAGACCCCAGAAATAAAAGCACACATCTATGAATAGTTAATCTTTGACAAAGGAGCCAAGAACATACAATGGAGAAAGGAAAGTCTCTTCAACAAGTGATGTTGGGCAAACTGGACAGCCACATGCAAATGACTGAAAGTAGACCATACACAAAAATTAACTCAAAATGGATTTAAGACTTGAATGTAAGATCTGAAACCATAAAACTACTAGAAGAAAATATAGGTAGTATACTCTTTGACATCAGTCTTAGCAATATCTTTTTGAACACTATGTCTACTCAGGCAAGGGAAACAAACAAACAAAAAATAAGCAAATGGGACTACATCAGATTAAAAAGCTTCTGCACAACAAAGAAACCATCAACAAAACAAAAAGACAATGCACCAAATGGGAGAAAATATTTGCAAATCACATGTCTGACAGGGGGTTAATTTCCAAAATATATAAAGAACTGGTACAACTCAACAGCAAAAAAATGAACAACCTGAACCCAATCAAAAAATGGGCAGAGGATATGAACAGACATTTTTCTAAAGAAGACATACAGATGGCCAACAGGGACATGAAAAGATGTTCAATATCACTAATTATTAGGGAAGTGAAAATCACAAGTATGATGAAATATCACCTCACAGCCATCAGAATGGCTGTAATTAACAAGGCAAGAAATACCAAGTGTTGGAGAGGATGTGGAGAAAAGGGAACCCTCATACACTGCTGATGGGCATGCAAACTGGTGCAGCCACTGTGAAAAACAGTATGGAGATTTCTCAAAAAATAGAAATATCATACAATCCAGCTATCCCACTACTAGGTATTTGTCCAAAGAACATGAAATCAACAATTCAAAGAGACTTATGCACCCCTATGTTCATTCCAGCATTATTCACAATAGCCAAGACATGGAAGCAACCCAAGTGCCCATCAATGGATGAATGGATAAAGAAGATGTGAGAGATATATAAAATGGAGTACTACTCAGCCATAAAAAAGACAAAATCAAGCCATTTGTGACGACATGGATGGACCTTGAGGGTATGATGTTAAGTGAAATAAGTCAGACAAAGACAGATAGCATATGATTTCACTCATATGTGGAAAATAAACAAACACATGGATAACAGATTAGTGATTACCAGAGGGGAAAGGAGTGGGAGAAGGGTGAAAGGGTTAAAGGGGCACACATGTATGGTGATGGATAAAAACTAGACTATTGGTATTGAACAGGATGCAGTCTATACAGAAACTGAAATATAATAACGTACACCTGAAATTTACACAATGTTATAAGCCAATATGACTGCAATAACATTTTAAAAAATCACCCCATCTAAACAAGAATGAAATTCCTGGGCACTTGTGTGATGGTTCTCAACTCTGACTGCACATAAGAATCCCCTGGAGAGGTGTCTTGTTTTTTGTTATTTTAAAATACTAATGCCCAGACATTCCACCCTACCCCAATTCTGTTTTCATTGGTCTGGACCAGGACCCAATCCCTGGTATTTTTTAACTCTCCCAGGTGATTCTTATGTGCTGCCAGGGTTGGTATCACAGTGTCAGGGGTTTTTCATCCACCTGGGAACCATGCGTGCCCGACTGCAAATCCCAGCTCTGGCCCTGGCTGGCTGTGTGGCCTTGGGCAAGTCACTTGACCCTCTGAGTTTGGTCCGTGAAGTTGGGCTGGGAAATCGGGGTGAGGATTCAGCAGCTATGTGAGAAAATGCCTGGGACACGCTGGGGGCAGTGACACTCACCTTTCCTTCCACCTGCCTTCAGGCCCCAGAGCTGCTCCTCACCAGCTCTGTTCATGTGTCATCGAGCCTCTGTGAGGCTCAGGTCCCCACGGTAATGCAGGAAGGGTGGACCCCACATTAGCATTCTAGGGCTCTGGGACTCTGATCTCCCACCAATTAAGTCGAACTCACAGCATCCCAGCTGGCCCCACCTCTCCCCACCCACCTGAGTGCAGGTGAGTACAGGGCCCCTGAGGTCAGTCTCCTAGCTGCCACGATTCACTACTGTGTCAGAGCTAGAACATTCTTCAAAATGCTCTCTATCAATTGTTCTCCACCATCCCTCCTGATGATTCCGTAAGGTGTGGAAACTTAAGCTCCTTGCTTGGGAGCTCACAGCTGGTCAGCAGTGGGGCCGAAATCCCAACCTGGGCCTGTCTGGTTCCAAACCCCCGTGTGTTGAATCAAGCCGGTTAAACTGCAGCCCTGTTCTGACACAGCAGGTGGCTGGCCTTGTAGTGTGGGTTGTTTCAGCAGATGTGGCTGCAGACAGACTCGCCCGCCTGTCAGTTTTGAGAAGGAGACGGGGGATGATGTCAGGGAAGGTGGAGGAGAGCTGGAGAGTAGGGAGCCATCTTAGGATAAAGCGATTTGCTGTTGATCCTTTCTACATAGAGACTCCAGGTCATTGGTTCCATGTAGGGTGACCAGCCTTCCTAGTGTGCCCGAGACTAGGGCTTTCCTGGGACACAGGACTTTCAGGGCGAAAGCAGGAGAGTCCTGGGAAAACCAGGACAGTTAGTCACTAGTGGTGAGTGATGGAAAAGCTAAAATGACAGTGGCTCTAAACAAGAAACGGCTTTCTCTCTTAACATCAAAGTCCAGATAGGAGCCTCAGGGCTGTCCTGACAGATAGTAGTGATTAGAGACCTAACTCTTTCGTTTTGTCACTCTGCCACCCTCAATTTATGGCTTCCCCCTCATGTCCAAGATGGCTACTGTAGCTCCAGTTACTGTGTCCACCTTCCAGCCTGCAGGAGGGAGAGAAGGACTTGCACACGCCACTTTTGCTCACTTTTGCCAGAACTTGGTTATGTGGCCACATCTAGCTGCAAAGGAGCTGGGATTCGTGGTCTTTGTTCAGGACAGCCATGTGCCTTGTTCTGTTACTATGACTTTAAATAGCACTTTCCCTGTGGAAGTGGGGTGATAACAGTGCACCACCGGTCCCAGTTCTGGAGTCCCAGCTTCCAGGAGTGCTCCCCTCTCTGTGCCACGGTTTCCACCTGTCAAGTGAGGGAGGATCACGTAGTGGCCATTGGAGGTTATCCAGCTGCAATGCCTCATGACTCCAGTTCAGCGTGTCTCAAAGTGAACACTCCACACTCCGGGCGGTGCTGAGTGAGATAAAATGAAGCCCGTTTCTTCATCGTGGGGCTCTGTGGAGCTTTTCCCATGCCCGTGTGTAGTGCTTTGATCCCAGAATGCCTTGGGGTTTTTTCTGGAAATATGTGCAACATATTTTGCAAAATGCTATTCTTGCTGTGCCTAAGTGTGCCCTGTCCCCAGCCTTTGGGTCTTCCTCTCCCCTCCAACCTCTGCAGCCCCTGATCGTCAAGAGACCCTTGTAGCTCCTCCTCCCAGGTCTCCTCCCATCCCGGGCTCCTGTCTGCCCCAAGACCCCTTCCTGCAGGTCCTAGAACCCTGTGTGGACCGGATGTCCTGTTCTCCCTGCCTCCCTCCTAGCTCCAGGGTCAGAGCCACATGGCCAAGGAGAAGACGGTGACCGTCCCGAGGGGCACTGTCCTGGCCTATAGGGTGCTGCAGCTGGAGATTGAAGGGGATCGCTGGGGTAAGTGGAGACTGGAGGAGCAGGGGAGATGGGACTGTCCATCCAGGAGGGCTGAGGAAGGGGGAGGGGCTACTTCCAAGTGTGGGCCAGGAAGAGAGAAAGAGAAGCCATTTCCCCCTTGGCCTGAGCAATCAGCCAGCCAGGCCCGCATTCCAGCAGCTCCTAAGAGGACTTGACTTTCCTAGAGGGCTGCTGAGGTCAGCAATCAGGGAGGGCTCAGAGCCCAGCTGTGCCACTTGCCCTGGGGTGGGGCTGCTCTCAGCTGGAGGAAGGGTCCTGTCAGGTAAGTAGCACAAAGATTCCTGCAGACCCGGAGTGGTCCTGCCCATCCATGGCCCAGGGGTGGCCGGCGGGAGGCGGTGGGTTTTGCTCACCTGTCAGTGCTTCAGCCCAGAGCCCTGCAGACCACAGACGGGGCTGGACACTGAGCCTAGGGCGAGGCCCCTCTGGAGGCTCCACTCTGGCCCCCTGGATCTGTGGCTTGGGTGGGGAGAAGGAGGAAGATCCAGACAGCCACCCCTGCCCTCCTGGAAAGAGCACAAACTTGAGAGTCCAATGCACTGAGGTTTGAGTGGTGGCTTTGCCCTTTGCCATCTATGTGGCCCTGGGGACGTCACCTAATGTCTGAAGCTTCAGCATCCTCGTCGGTAAAGGGGTGTCTGCTGCCTGTCCATAGAGAGGCTGTGAGGCCACAGGAGATGAGCTGTGAGGTCCCTGGCTCCGTGCCTGGCACAGCAAGGAGCTCCATAATCGTTGACTCTCTGCCTTCCTCTCAGACACTCATGCCTTCCCTACCTGTGCTCCCACACAGCTGTGCTGTACCTGCCTGAAGGCAAGCTCTGCAGAGACACTGGCGGAGGTAAGTGGCCCCCACCCAGGCCCACAACCCCAGCCAGAAATCACCGCTTCCCATAGAGAATGCCCTGACATTCTTGTGGTCCCTTCCCTCCACCACGTAGTCACTCCAGGCACAGGGAGGGCTGTGTGCTCTCTCCCAGGGGGATAGAGATGAACCAAGAGAACTGGAGAGAGGCTGTGGGTGGAAGGATGGTGAGCCTGGGAGGCGCTCACCTGCTTCAGCTCCAGCTCCCCGCATACCAGCCTTCATTTCCCACCCACACAAAGGGAGGGTGGCATTGTCTCGCCAGGTCAGGAGGACCGGTCATGATGTTTGGATGGCATTGGGTACCTGGAGGCTTCTCAGGAGGCAGTTTGCATTGTTAACAGGATGAGAGTAGGAAGGCAGGGGTGTCTGGGCGCTGCTGGATCCACCCACCCCACCCTGCTGCGGTGGTGTTTAGACAGTGGGAAGCCCTGGCTTAGCTATCCCAGCGGGGCCGCTGGGCAGGATGGAGCCAAGTGCAAGGGTTCTAAGGAACTGACCCAGAGCAGACCCTGAAGTGGCTCTTCTCCTTCTGGCTGAAGCATTGGCCCTGAGCTGGGGTAAGTGATGGGGGGCCGGGGGGCTGTGGGAAAAGGCAAGGATAAGACCCGTGGCTGGGACCTGATATGTGGTAGGCATTCAATAAACACTTATTGAAGGAACAAAGGAACGAAGGAGAAGTGAGCACATAAATGAACACTCTGCATGAGGTGGGAGCTTCATCAGCCCAGGTCTGTGACATGATGACCTCCCTGTCAGGCTGAGGTCACCTGGGGTCTGGCTGGCCCTGGGCAGGGGCCCGGGCATGGGAGCCCACAAGTGCCCACCCACTGTCTCTACAGGCTGGACCCTAGACGAGGAGCCCAACTTCCAGGGCCTGCAGAGGCAGGTGGGTGCCCAGCTGCAGGACATGGCCACGCTGCTCCCTGGGCTGCGGCACACACTGCTGGATGCCCTCCAAGAGCTGCTCAAGGACTCTCAGGCACTGCAGGAGCTCGAGGACACGGTCAGGGGCCCATGGGCCAGACCCGGGGTGGGGGGCTGGGATCCAGGGCAGGGTGGGGCAGGGCAACGAGAGGCAGGAATGGGATGTGCTCTGGGTCTTGGTGGCGCACAATCTTGGATGGCCCCTTGGTAAGTGGGCACAGCCCTGTGCCAGCTAGTGCGTCAGACCCTCCCAAGCATTTGCTCACTGAAGCCCAGAGGAGGGTCCCTGGCTCAGCATTGCTGGCATGGAACCCAGGCTCGTCCCAGCCTCATTGGTGACATGAGGGGACAGGGTGCCAGGGGGTGGGGAATGGGTGCTTGGATGGTGAAGTGCGTGGACAGAGGGCAGAGGGGAGACCCAAGCCTGCCTCTCCTTGCCACTCCCCTGCAGCTGGAGCAGGCCCTGGACACTGGAGTGCCGGCACAGCTGGGCGGCCCTGGGGCCTGCGTCCTAAGCACCCTCCAGGACCCCTCGGGCAGCCTGTCGACCTCGAAAGGCCGGGCCATCCTCTGCGTTCTTGGAGCGCTAGTGGGTAAGAGGGGTGCCCCGGGACTGGGGTTGGGAGGAAGAGGGCACAGGGAGGCCCCCTGAGGCTCCAGCCCATTGGCACTGCGGAGCGCCAGTGCTGGTGTATCCTCCCCGCTCGTGGGCAGCGCGTGGCAGAAGATCGTTGGAAGACTGGACCGGGCTGCTGTTGTCACCTTGGGAAGTGGCGTCTTTGTTTCCCAGAATCCCCTTCCCTGTATAGTTCTGGGTGAGAATCACCCAAAAGAGGAACCGGCCTGAGATTTGGGGGCCAGAAGTGAGCAGCAGGCAGTCACAAATGCAGGCCCCTTGGCAATCAGATTTGGTGATGGACAGGCACCTGGCAGGTTCCACGGGTCCAGTGCTTTCTCCCGACCACCAGCCCTGCCGACCAGCAGGTCCTCGGACCCGCCCCTGACACGGAGAGGCCACTGCTTCCTGCAGGCCTCGCCATGAGCGCCCTCCCCGACCCCGCAGTCCCCTTTCCACTTGTCTCCTCCACTTTCTTCCTTTCTTCTGTCACTCTATTAATCATTTGTCATTAATCTCCGCCCCGCCAGAAATGTCCATTCCAAGAAAACAAGAGTTACTGTCTGTATTACCCACATGCCCACTCCCTTGAACACGTGTCTGCACACATAGGTGCCCAGCCTCCCTGAGTTCCCTCCCCACGTGTGACAAGGAGCTTAAGATGCAGACGTGCCAGTCAGGCTGGGCCTGCCCCGCGGGGCTGGAAAGATGCTGCTGTTCGAAGTCGGAGCTTTGTGTTCAGGATCAGGCCGACCTGGGTTCTTCTCATCCTAGTTCTGCCACTCACAGAACGAGGAGCCACCATTTTCCTGGTTAGTGATGAGCTGGCACCGCCGCTGGGCCAGCAGATGCACTAAGACATGTGACAGCCCTTTGTGAAGTGGAAGTGTTACAGCCTTAACCGACTGTGTTTCAGGGAGACTGAGGGGGTGGGAGGGGCACCAGTTAACTTGAGACTGCTCAGCACTTCTAGGGCAGGCAGCCAGAACCTTCTCGGGAAAGTCGGCCCCAGAGGTACCTAGTGGGGCTTCTCCTGGCTTTACGGCTCCAACATCCAAGGCCTTCCTCCTGGAGTTCCCAGGGCCTACAAGGAGACACACGGGTGCCTCAACCCCCATCTCTCCCCAGTGCTGAGCGACACCCAGCGTTGCCTGCTGGCCCAGTCCCTGGAGAGAAGGATCCTGCCTCGGCAGCTGGAGCTGGTGAGAGCCTGGGAGGTACTGTTGAGGGGGACATCTGGGGAAACACCAAGTGGTTGGTTGGGGTATCCAGTCCCCAATTCCTTGAGAGCCCTTTGTCAGCCCCTTTACCCAGCCCCCACCCACAGAGAGCACGCACGCTGGGCTCTGACCCCCAAGACCCCAGGCCCGCGCAGCCTCCACTGGGTGGGCCACACTCAGTCCTGTGCGTGTTTGTTCACTGACCGTGTTGCATCCCTACCTTGTGCCAGGCCCTCAGCTAGGGTCTGAGAATACGAAGGTGAAAGGGGCAGCCCCACCCCTCGCAGTCTGGTCAAGGAGACACGCAGACAGGTGGTTACAGACAGGGCCTGATTTAGCTGGCATGGGCGGCTGTGGGGGCACCGACGATGGGGCTCGAGCATTTCCCAGAGGGGCGACACCTCCACACTGTTCAGACGGAAAGACAGGGATGGGTCTCTAGGCAGAACAGTGTGCCCAGAGCCTGGCAGCACTAGGAGTGTCAGAACCTCTGACTCCAGCCAGTGCGGGAAGGGCAGTGTCGGGGTACACTACCTGGGACCCCAGTCCTGCAGGGAGCAAGGCCACGGGGCTGAGGCTGGGATGTGCTGGGGAGAGGAGGCCCCAGACTCCCATCCACAGCGGGGTTCCGCCGATCCAGGGGCTGGGAGACCTGCCTCTTCATTCTAGGTGGTTCTTTGCAGGTGGAGAGCATCTTAGAGGCAAACTTCAATCAGATGGAGGAAACACCCTTCTCCCTCCCACGGGAAGTCCTCTCATCGCTACAGAGCGAGGACGCGGCCCTCACCCTGAGCCTGGTAGAGAGCTGTGGGCTGGAGCTGCAGGGACCCGGCCACCAGCTCCTCTGGGACCCTGATGTGGTGCCACAGTTGTCTGCACTGTATGGGTCCCTTGCAGGGCTGCAGCTAGTGGCCAACCCCAGCCCTGCGGCCCCCTCTGCTGATGCCTGAGAAGGGTGCCACATCCTGTGGTCCCAGCCGTCCTGACTCCAGGGAACTGCTGGCCCAGAACTTCTGTGCAGGCCCAGGACGCAGCTGTCCCTCTGGTGGCCACAGGTGATGGTGGGGCTCTGCCAGGACTGGTCCCCAGACAGTAGTCACCTGTCCAGATCTGGGGGGCACCCGTTAGCTTAGGGTCCCACATTGGATCAGGATTCTTCTCTAAGAGGCAGTAGAGGTGGTTCCAGAACAGCCTGGGCTCCATTCACTGCTCCACCACTGATGGCTGTGCAGCTTTGGCACATTACTCCCTCTCTGTACTTCCAGATCCCGTCAAATCACCCCATGCAAAATGGAGATATCAGAATCCCTAGCTCATAAGACTGTAGTGAAGATTTAAAAAGTTAGTGTTCATAAAGTACTCAGAACAGTCCCTGGCTGTCAGCTATTGTTATGTGATGTCTATATTGTTAATAGCGTCACTATTCTGGAGGAGGCTGCAGGACCTCTCTCTAGGTTAACAAAGGACTTGGTCAATCACCCCTTTTCCCATCTGTAAAATGAGAGCGATGGATGAAACTGCTCGGGTCTCATGCAGCTGCGCCCCTCAGAGATCCCACGGGCCACACGGACCGGGGGTGTGGGCCAGGGTCTGGGGTGGGATGAGAGCCCTTGACTCATGGACCAGGCTCTTTCCATAACCCTGGTTCACCCCCGGCATCTCCCCAGAGCAGCAGTTGGATTCGTTTCATGATGGGAAGTGTTTCTGGTAAGACTCACGTTACCGAGCATGGCCGTGCATGTGTGTGCGAGCAGTGGAAGAGTGTGTGTGCGTGTGCATGCATGTGCATGTGCTGGGACGTGGACAGGGAGCAGGGGAAGAGCCTGAGGACACATCACAGCCAGCAGACCGGGACCAGGCCTCCCGATCCCAGACGAGCGCTCTTGGCATCGCAGACCCAGAACGAAGTGAACCTCAGCAGGAGAGTGCTCACGCGGCAGGCAGGCCGCCCGGTTTGCCCACTCTGAGCAAGATCATTTTATTCTTTTCTAATCATAAAACTTACCTCACAATCCAAACAATGGTCATTGTAAAAAAGTGTGTGAAGAACATTTTAATCTCCCTAATTCCACTCCCCAGAGATAACCAGTCTTGACCTATTGGTGTTTATCCTTTCAGCATTTTTTCCCTGCACACGTATAAATTATCTGGCAGACAATTTGGTAACGTATTTATAGTTTGTAAACCTGCTCTTTAAAAATGTACTGTACTGTGTGCCTGTCCTTAAGCACTCTCCGTAACATGAGAAGTGAGGTTGTAGGCAAGGGGAACTTGGCAGGCCTCACACCAACCGCTTGACGGCTATTCTGGCAATAATGCACCTTGTCGTCCTTTCACTGCATCTTAGCCTCTCCAGGTTTGTCTGATGGGAGAGCGCTGACACGGCGCCTCCCTGTGGGCGAAGCAAGAACAGAGATACCTTTCCACTCTCCGTCGCCAGAGCTGTCAGGCCATCCAATCAATCACGTCTCTCCTTATGCACGTTGCTCTTAGGGGCTCAGAGCCCCTCATGTTTTATCAACAAGTTAAACAGCCACAAGTAAATTAAAGGGGGTTCATTGTTTACTCACGTCTTAAATGACTTTAAATGAGTCCACAGACATAGTCTACCTTAAAATCCTCTCTCCTTTCCCATCCCCTCACCCCCTGCAGCTGCCCAGCCCCTCTCACCACCATGCCCCAGCCCCTCACCCCACCACCGTCCATCCTCCTCCTCCTCGTGCATCCTCCCCTCTCTGAACTTCGTCTTCTCTCATTTCGCAGGAGGGGGAATAGACATCCAGTGGCAACGACAGGATTCTCTGGTGAACACGGTAATAAACGTGGTTCCATAACACATACATTTTTAAGTTCAACCTTCTTGAAAAGTAACTTTTGCCTGAAATTAGAGATGATCACAATTTGAACCAACAATGTATTGATTAAACTATTTCTAGAAAGTGAGGGTTCTATCATCTAAGGTGGAGAAAAATAATGTAACATGGAGCAAGAGCCCTGAAACCGATAGGTTTGGGGTGAACACCAGCCCTATCAGTACCTGTGTGACCTTAGGCAAGTTTCTTAACCTCTCTGAACTTCTGTTTCCTCACCTGTAAAATAGGGGTAATAATATCTCCACGTGCTCATGCCTCTTGAGTAGCCTGCTTACATACTGCACCCCTCAATAAAGATGGGTCTCCTCCCTCTGTAGGACCTAGAGAGCCCACCCATCGGTGCCCACAGGATGGTCCTTGTCTAAAATCCCCTTTCAGCAGCTAAGTCAGAGTCCCAGGAGCTGTGAACGTGGGGCCAGCAGCGGAGGCGGACAGGGGAGCTGCCTCGCAGCCGTGGGGGTCTGAAGGAAGCCGTCTCTCCGTGCATGGGCGCCTCCTCCACCTCCGGCCACCCCTGTGCAGCTCTCCCTTCTCCGGACCCCTCGAAAGAGGCAGATGGGGCACAGCCTGGAAGCTAGCATTGCCTTAGTGGCCTTTCCAGGTCTGAGGTGGGACCGCAGAGTTGTACTCTCACAGGTAGAGAGATGGGGCCCAGGGAAGCCATAAAGCCTGAGGAGGACAGAAAAGGAACCAGAACCCGTACACTGGACTCTCTCCCCTGCTCGGACTGTCCTGTTGGCCACCCTCATGCCCCTCCCTCCCCCCAGCCTCTCACTGCCAAATGCCCCCGGGAGAAATCCACGGAACCCAGGCTGACTGATCCAGCCTCTCAGGGCAGAAGCTCTTGACTGGCGGAAGATGCCACTGCTGACTGAGCCTAAAATAATCGTCCCACTCCGCACGATATGCTCCACCCACCACCTTCTCGCTTCCCTCCCTCCTTCCAGGGGCTCATGCCCCAAACAAGGACCATCCTTGACTCTCGCACCCTCCCACATTTAGTATGCTGGAGACAGCTATGGCTCTACCTTCAAAATATACCCCGAGTCTGGTCACTTCTCACCACATCCACTTCAGCGACCCACTATCACTTCTTGCTCAATCCTTGCAGGTGCTTGGTTGGTCTCCCTGCCCCTGTCTTGCCTCACCTGGGTCATTCTTGGCACAGCCCTAGAGAGAGCCTAAGTATGTCAGATCGCAGCCCTCCTCACTCAGAGCCCTCTGATGGCTGTGTGCTGACCTGGTGGCCTCTACGGCTCTGCGAGCCATCACCCTCAGACTGCGCCTCCCTCCCTGGCTGCCCTGCTCTGGCCACACGGGCACCCCGCTGCTCCTCAGACTCCCCAGCCTTGAGGCCTCTGCGCTTGCTCTGCTCTGTCTAGAGCTTTTTCCCCGAGACCCTCACTGCTAACCCTTCCCCCCCCCCGTCTTGGCTCACAAGTTCCTTCTTAGTGAGACCTACCCGTCAGCACTATTCAACTGCAAACTGCCCGCCCACCCAGCACTCCCAATCCACTGTAATTTTCCCATGGCCTTAGCATCCTCTACTGTACTATAGACTCTAGTAACTGATTACGTCTAGGCACTGGGAATACGATGGTGCAGGAAACAGACACGGTCCTGCTCTTATGGAACTGACCACCTGGGGTGGGACACAGGCACTGAACAAAACTTCATGGTCACTTTGTTAAGGCCCGCTGTGCTGAGTGTTACACAGGAGACTGCTGGACACCGTTGGGGGAACCCAGGGTATCCTTAGAGCTGAACGGGCCCTAGGACTCCACTTTGGTCAAGGACACTGGCCTACAGCATGACTCCCAGTCATCACTGACAACCTGTGGGCTGTTCTGGGAGGTAAGTCTGAGGGTAGGGGAGGACAAAGAAAGGAGGCAGGGATGGCAGGGGCCAGGCCTCTCCCATTGTCACAACCCTTGACAAACGGAAGATGGGCATTGGTGGATAGATGCTCCCCTCGTCTGCCCTCCAGACAGGTCCGAGATGCTTTCTACACAGCTCCCCAGAGGGGCCAGGGGCACAGAGTCCCAAGTGGAGAGCCCAGCCTTGTACTGGCTTTCCCTCCTGGCCTGGTTCACTCCACCCAGCCTCTGGTTCCGCTCCCTGGGATCACTTCCTAAAACCAACTACCCATAGCACATAGCCTTTACTCAGGCTCTGCTTTCCGCGGAAACCTGAGGCTACAACAGCACATTCAGCGGTAAGTGCAGGGGAGACAAACACAGGGGAAAGGCTGTGTGGAGTGTCGGGAGGCTGTCACTGTAAGCAGGAGGGTTGCAGCAGGCCTCACTGGCAAGATAACATCTGAACAAAGTCTGCATGACCATCCACAACCCCAGCAGGGGGACTGGCCACTGCAAAGGACCTGGACAGTGGAGTGCCCCACGCTGTGTTCAAGGGGGAGCAAGATTAGCATGGCCGGAGGTGACTGACATGGAGTGCGACAGACATGTAATACTTGCATACATGCAAGACGTGTGCACAAGGTTTGCCCTTAAACCATTGCTTACATGACAATAGTTTAGAAACAACTTAAGAGTCCATCAAATAGGGGACTGGTTAAGTGAATTAGGGTACATCTACGTAATGGAATACTACACAGCACTCAAAAAGAACGAAGATGCTCTTTATGTAATACTATTGGGCAATCTCCAACTCATGTAAAGTGAAGAGAGCAAAGTGTGGAATAGTGATGTAATGAGTACATTCGGGTTTAGGGATGGGAAGAATAAATATAGATGACATAAAATTTGAATGCAGGTCTATCTCACTTACCAAAGCCATACCATTCCTCCTACAACCACAGATTATTTAGGAATTTTCCAAGAAACAATACTTGAAAGATCCTGGTGTTTCATGTCCACGCAATATTCAGACCACATACTGGAGAATATTTGCCAACATTGACTTTTATTCAAGTGGCTTCCTCTGTCCAAATGCCCTCTATACACCCGGAAAACTGCTCCCACCTCTGTTAAGGCCCTACCCGGAATCCATCTTTACAGTCCTAGGACATGGTGGGCTCTGGATAGGAATTTACTAAATGTTTACCTACACAAAGATGAGCTCGTGAACACGCTCACCGCAGCAGTGTGTCACCAGGCTGCAGCTCAACAATTGAAATAATTGTGTTGATAGTTTCAGTTTCAAATACGCAGTTAATCACTTGCTCATTTAGAAAACTGATGCTACCACTCAGTAAGTTTTTATTAATCAGTTACAGGATCTCTAAGGGGCTCGTTAAAATTACGCAGCTCTGCCCAGCACTGTCATTGACAGAGAGAAGTAGATGGAACTGGTACTGTGGGCTACTCTTAAGATAAATGCAAAACAAGACATACCAATGGCAGGACACCTGGGATCGGCTCCATGGCTGTTTTTAATACAGTCAAATGTCACGATGGGCACAGTAAGACAGGGAGCACTTCTGATATGCACAGGATGTTCTGGGCATTATCTAGCATATTCCTCAGGGCCACTGAA